TAATCACTAGAAACAAAGCTAGGCTTGTAGCTAAAGGCTACAATCAAGAAGAAGGCATTGATTATGAAGAAACTTATGCACCGGTTGCACGTTTAGAAGCTATTCGTTTATTGCTTGCATTTGCATCTACAATGGATTTTAAACTTTATCAAATGGATGTTAAAAGTGCCTTCCTTAATGGTATCATTCAAGAGGAAGTGTATGTCGAACAACCCCCGGGTTTCGAAGACTATGAGTTTCCCGAACATGTCTTCACACTCAAAAAGGCGCTTTACGGTCTCAAACAAGCACCTCGTGCTTGGTATGAACGGTTAAGCAAATTTCTTTTGGACCATGAGTTCAAACGGGGTCAAGTCGACACTACTCTTTTTATCAAGAAAGATAACCAAGACATCCTTTTGGTTCAAGTTTACTTAGATGATATCATATTCGGTGCTACTAACGAGGTTTTGTGAAGGGATTTTTCCGATATGATGCAAAGTGAATTTGAAATGTCAATGATAGGAGAATTACAGTTCTTCCTTGGGCTGCAAATTAGACAATGCAAAGAAGGAACATTCGTGTGTCAAACAAAATATCGTAGGGAATTGCTTAAAAGGTTCGATGTTACCGAATCCAAATCCATTGACACACCAATGAGCACCTCTTGCTATCTCGACAAGGACGAAAAAGGTAAAGATGTTGACATCAAGCGCTACCGAGGTATGATCGACTCTTTACTTTATCTTACCGCGAGTAGACCGGATATCATGTACTCCGTTTGTATATGCGCTAGGTATCAATCATGTCCTAAAGAGTCGCTGTGGGAAGTTGTTGTGCCCAAATTCTTTGGCTAAAACAACAACTAGTGGATTTCGGCCTTATACTTGATCACATCCCTATTAGGTGTGACAATATGAGCGCTATCAGTCTAACGAAGAACCCCGTTCTTCACTCGAGGACTAAGCACATAGAAATTAGGCATCACTTCATACGAGATTAGGGCTGTGCATTATTCGGTCCGGACCCGGACCGACCCGAAACCCGGCCAAAACCGGACCGGACCGGTCCGGACCGGTCCTTATTCGGTCCGGTCCCCGGTCCTCATTTTTTCCTTATTCGGGTTCCGATCCGGTCCGGTCCGGTCCACCGGGTTTCAGTCCGGACCGGTGGACCGGTTAGATTTTATTTTTTTAAATATTTTTTAATGTTTTTTCTTATACTTAAAATTAGTTTAACTTTAATGCTAAATTTTTTTAAATGTTTTGATTTTATTATTTAATATAATTTTTTAAATACATTTCAATTTAAAATAAGATACCAATTGTAATGATTTTTAAATATTTTTAATATGAAAAGTGTGAAAAAGTAAAAATTATCTTTAAATTATCGATCTAATGCATTTCAAATTTATATACCAATACTATAACTTAAATTTGTATTTTATCAATAATAAAACTCTAATCCGCAGGACAAACATTGTAAACAATTTCATGAACAAAAATAGTAAAAAATGTATCTGTTGGTCAAAATAATTCGAAACTCGAAAAAATATTACAAAAAAACAAAAATGTACTAAGAAGAAGTATATTCCCTATGCAAAATAAAAATTGTGAACAGATTTTATGCAATACGGATTGTGTTTGATAATGTTTAGTGCATGTTACAATTAAAAATTAGTTGTAGTAATATTTTTATTCAATTGAATACTTTAAATTAAAAAAATAAAATAAAATTTAAAAAAAAAAATTAAAAGCAACATTTATTCGGTCCGGTCCCGGTCCGGTCCCGGGCTGGTCCTTAGCTTAATCGGTCCGGTCCTCGGTCCACCAAATGCCCCTTATTCGGTCCCGGTCCGGGCCGGTCCGGTCCGGGTTTGACCCGATGAACACCCCTATACGAGATCACGTCCAAAAGGGAGATGTCACAATTGAGTTTGTTGAAACGAAACATCAATTGGCAGACATTTTCACGAAACCCCTTAGTAGGGAGAGTTTCTTCCACATTAGGAACGAACTTGGAATTTTGGATATCTCTATGAACTAATTCATTCCTTTTATTGACTATACTAATTTGAGCGTTGGAGGCGCGATAAATTCTTTTTTGCAGGGCTTTTATTGTAGGTATCTTTTCCCTTGGTATTCAACCTAATTGGACTTGATATCTTTTCTGTCAAACAAATTTTAATCGATTACTCCTCGAAGAGAAATCGATTAGTCGCCTCTGTCCCTCTTAATCGATTACTTGACTTTTGTTAATCGATTAAAATCCTAAACTTTTTGCTCTGCGTCACTTTAATCGATTAATTTGGTTACATTAATCGATTAAACTCATCTGTCCATCGTAATCGATTAATCACGTTTGCTTAATCGATTAATAGCTTGCAACGCAAACGTTTGGTCTCAAATTTTAATCGATTAAAATTCTTCATTTAATCGATTTTGCCTCGGCTGTGTTCGTTAATCGATTAAATACCTTTATTTAATCGATTAATATTCGATTTTTTTCTTCTCTTTATAATCCGCCAGTGCCTTCGTCTTCATCGCCATCTCAGTTTTGCAGAGAAGGTGCGAAACCCTAGCTCAAACACTTCTCAAACTTCATCAGAAATTTCTCAAATTTGTTCCATTTTTTTTACCAAATTTCATCAATTACAAAAAGGAAGAATGCCAAGGTGCAAGAACGCTTCCTCGGGTCAAGAAACGGCGGCAGAGGAGAATGAGAGGCCATGGCGTCGTGAAGGGAGCAAGTACATTCACATTCAAACGGGTCTCGCCTTCAACACTGGAGCTTCAGTCGAGAGGTTCCACAACATCTTCCTCACGAAGGAGATCGTCTCTCCCAAGATCGTGAACAAGGACCTCTTCAAATCGGCGACCTATGCCCCGAGTAAGTCTATGTTCCTTCAGCAAGGTTTGCTTCGTTTCATTCATTTGACGTATGAATTTTTCTGTCCAAATCTTATACGTCAATTTTATGCAAATCTTCGTACCACTAAGGGAGGTTCGCCATCTCTCATTTCCTATGTTGACGGCAAAACCGTTTTCATTGACGGTGCCGGTTTGACTTCTTTGTTTGGCCTTCGTCGCGGTGAAATTACCGAAAACTTGGATGAAACATTCCAAGATGAGGCAATATGGCGACAACTCGGGTTAGATCATCGTGACCTCAAGTTTAGAAACTCTAGCAACCCGAGTGTCGTTAATCTCACTTTAATTCAACGCGTCCAACAATACATTTTCTCATATGTTTTGTTGCCCCGTGATTCGAACCATGGCGTCGTCAACAAGGACAATATTCGTTTGTTTCACGTCCTGTTGAACGATGTCAAATTTGATTGGGTTCCCTTCTTTATCGTTGCACTTAGCGATGGCACTCGCTTTTCCCATCTCCGTTTTGCCATCCCCATTATGCATATCCTTGCTCCCTGCAAAGTAGACCTTACTCGGGACACTCAGGTGCCGGTTAAGAAGACGTGTTTCATCACTGAAGCCAAGTTTTTCCGGATCGTGTATCGAGAGGAGGGCGATGCTGCACCAAATCTGGACTTGATCGTCACTGAAGAAGAAGAAGAAAGCCAAAACGAGAATCAAGCTGAGTCATCTCAAGCCGGATGTAGTCGAGCCACGGAGCGCGTCACTCGTCAACGGAGGACTCGTCCGAGAGAAGAAGCACCAGAACCATCTTGGGTGAAGAAGATCTTCGATACTCTCACGTGCATCCGAGATGACGTTCGCCAGCTCAACGAGAGGATGACTCGTCTTGAGCAATCTCGCTCCTACCGTGGCCCGCGTCACAGCTTCAGCGGAGGAGCTCATCCGGCGAACTCTCTTTGATTGTTATTTTCCCTTGACTGATTATGATTCATTGTTATTTGTTTTGACTCTTTTGGTGGATGATGATGTTTCCTTTCAATGATGCTAGTTGATATTAACTGCTTGTGTATTAATATCATTGTTGGTTAGGCAATATTGTTCTTGTTTAGTACATATGGTCCCTTTGTGGCATTTTTTTTTTTTACAAATTCTCTTTTAAAGAAAACTCTTGCCATCTTTTTCCTTCAATATCCCGACATTGTTTAAGGGGGAAGGTTATCGGTTGATAATGCCAAAAGGGGGAAGGAAGGATAGTTGAGAATTTTTTTTCCGCTTATTACTCCGATGATTATTTTTTACTGCACTTCTCTAACTTTGCAGGGGAAATTTCTCTTAAAAGGAAGTAATTTCTGAACTCTTACTTTGCTCTTTCCCAACTATGTTTGTCATTATCAAAAAGGGGGAAATTGTTGGACATGAGTTCAAACCCCTTTTCTTTTTCTTCTGGAATATTTTTTGTTTTGATGAATGACAAACAGGATGATTAATTTCCAGCTGATCGAAAATTTATTTTTCATATCAAGAAAAGCAAAGAAGGGTATCAAGAAGTTTATGGCGATATAAATCGACGACCACCCCTACGCAGATTTTTTAAGTGAAGAGAAGACTCCGAAGACTTTTTATTTTAGTCTAGGAATATGTGTAAGGATGACAATATCTTCTGCACAAACAAATTAATTTCTGAGGGATAAAAATTATTATTATTTTTTGAGTCAGTTAAAAAATTACTTTTCCTCAGTCTAAAATATTTTACTGAGTCAGTCTCAAAATAAGTGTGTCAAAACTTTTTAAAAACATTTTTTGAGATTACACAATTTTTTTTTAAGAAAAAATATACCTTAAATATTTTTCGTGTACATCATTTGACACACAAAACAATTTTTGGACTCTTTTTTTCCCCTACTCAAATTAATTGAGTAGGAGCGTCCGTTGTCCTTTGATATTCCCGTTGTCCAAAACAACGAGTTAGAAGCCAAAGGGCTTCCAATCGCGCTTGGCTTGGGCCCTTTATGTTTGCGCATTATTTTTACTTTAATCAATTAATTATTCTAAAATAATCGATTAGATCCATTTTCACAGCGCTGGATTTCTCAAGCCTTCATTATTAATCGTTTTTTCTTACTCTTTTAATCGATTAATTCTCACAGCGCAGACTAATCGATTTTTCCTTCAAAATTAATCGATTAAGATTGCATTTCTCGCTGAAGCCGTTTTCTTAAATTAATCGATTAATCTTCTTCATTTAATCGATTAGTTGAGACAGCGCCATCTAATCGATTACTTTGTCAAAATTAATCGATTATCTTGCACCCTGCGCAAAAGCCTCTTTCGCTTCTGTACACTTTAATCGATTAAAATTCCTAAATTAATCGATTAATTCTGTCTAGTGCATATCATCAGCCTTCTTCAACGGCTTTATTTTCCTCAGCCTATTTAATCTCTCATTCTCCTTCATTTCAAGACACACCTCTTGCACTTCAATATATTCTTTGAGCTATATTCATCCTTTGCTTCATCTTCCTCATCAAAATATTATTTTTGAGAGTTAGAAATATTTTCTTTATGTGCTCAAGAAGTTGTCATCCATAGAGCTTAAATTCTTCAACACTACTTTGCTCAATTGTGTGAGCTTTCATTCTTGTGTTGTAAACTCAATCTCTTTTGAGTGTTGTTCTTAAGACTTGTGTGACTCAAGTCTTGTTGTTGTAAGAAAGTGAGGCTTGTGCGATTCAAGTTCTCAAGTTGTACCGGTTTTTCAAGCACCCGTTGAAGCTTGAAGATTAGTAGGACTTTCGAGAGAGTCTCTCGGAAGACTGGATTAGCCACGAGGTGGTGAACGAGTATAAATCTCGGTGTTCTTCTTTCCCTTACTCTCTTTATTTATTTTTGCGATTCTATTATTTCACACACGCGAAAAACGCACATTCTTGAAAACAACTCTATTCACCCCACCTCTAGAGTTGCACATTTGTCTAACACGTTACACCACCAACTGAAGCAATCTCATCGAACAAATCTTCTTCAGTATAATTGCGTTGGTTACCAAGTTTAATTGCAGTAGCAACTTCGCCTATGCTAGCAGTCAAAAGTGATATTTCTTCACTTACTACATCTACCATTCTTGTTTTCTTCTTCTTTGGTTCTTCGATCAAATGCTATTCACCCCCCTCTAGCGTTGGTCACTTATTCTAACATCATGTGGATTATGCACAAACTGTATAGTGAACTGTCGAGTGGGTGATATCCGGTCTGGATCCCGTATGTATGTTTTAACCCCGAATTATAAATGTTGGAACACGGGTTTACGCCTGCATCTTACTAGAACTGTGTTCGTTTTATGACAGGTTTTGATAATGCCAAACCTTCGTGAAAACAAGAACACATTGAACAAACCAAAGGAAAATAAGCATGGCATGGTGATCAAGTGAAAATGAGGATCAAGAACAAAGAACGAAGACATAGAAATAGTTCAGTCAGTCTTAGTGTGATCAAGACCGGCATTAACTTCTCAAATTGGCTCTCTAGGCTAATTACATTAAGATGTCCTCATGCATCATCAAATTTTTTTTCATAATTGTTTAATAAGCAAAAGACACTTGGAGTTCGCCTAAACAAAAACCAAGCCATCTGGCGTTCGGCTTTCAGAAACCTGCATTCGGTTTTCAGAAACTGGCGTTAGGCATTCGGTTATCAGCGTTGGTTTTTGGTGTCTGAACCAACCAAGTGGTTTTTAACTTGTTATGATTGGTTTTTACTTCTGGGCACATTTAAATAGTTCTCCAACAAAAACACTTCAAAAACCACCTTTCCTTTTTGGTCTTTTGGTAAAAACCATGTGAAACGACATAAACTTGGCTAGCCGTGGTTTTTACCCAAATGACGTGGTTTTTAAGATGTTTCACTTAGTTTCTTAATAAAATACATTAAATAAGTGTTTTCAACACTTGGTTTTGAATTTGGAGAACTTTGATTTTTGACATCGTCTTTCGTCGTGATTGGCTAGCCATGGTTGTAGCAAACCAGCCCAACAGCGATGTTGGAGTGACCAACAACGCCGTCTGGTGTTGGTGTTGACTCCTGACCAACTTTTCTTTTTTCATTACTTAAATTATGTTTTAGAAATTTAATAAGTGAGACCTATATTTTAATTTGGCTTATGACAATACTCCATTTCCCTCGATCATAAAACCCTTTACATTTTCCATTTTTTGGACGTCCGACAAAGGAATTTAGTATGGAGTATTTGTTTTATTTCCTATTTTGCAATAAATATGTGGCTCATAGTTTTTCTCTCTTCTAAAAAATTCTAACAGGACACTTTTTTCATACAAAAAAAGTACACACTTTTTATTTTGGATAAATTTCATAAAAGGTCCCCAGTTATAAGCCGTTTTACATATTTAGTCCCTACATATAAAACATTACTAATTTAATCCCCAATTATTATATCATTTTTCAAAAATGGTCCTTTGTTAACGTTTTGTTAATAACATGGCTAAAATTGTATATTCATACTTTTCTCTCTCCTCAATTAAGCTTCCTCCCTCCTCTCGTACTCTTTCCCAAACTCGTCGCTGGGTTTGAAGCTCTAAACCCAAAACTATAATGATCATTCCTCTCTCAATTATTAGTCTTCTTGGTGGAACCTAAAATCAAAATCAATAAGCTTTATGTATGAGTTTCATCAGTTAGTCTCAAGAAATTACAAAGAAAATAAACATTAAAACTCATCCATTATGTTACTGGTTTTGAATTTGGGTTCCACTAGTTAGACAAAGAATTGAGAGAAGAATGATGATTTTCATTTTGGGTTCAAAACTTCAAACTCAGTGACGGCAGGATCGGCCCTGACATTTTATGGGCCTTAGGCCAATTAAAAAATTTGGCTTCTCTTATAATTATTTTTAAAAAAGAGCAAGATCACTTGATGAATTAAAATGATTGAGTGTGTCATATTATTATTTTACTTTATATATTTACTTAAAATTGAAAGCTTAAAACCCTGAACTTATTATTTTTTTACAATAATATATTACAAGTACTATTAGAGAAAAAATAATTATGAGCCCCTTATGAAATAGGCCCTAGGTGGCAGCCCCCTATGCCTACCCCAGGGCCGGGCCTGAGCGATGGGTTTGGAAAAGGAGTGCGAGGGGAGAGAGGAAGCTTAATTGATGAGAGACATGAGTGTGAATTTATAATTTTATCCACGTTCTTAATGAAAATGTTAACAAAGGACCACTCATGAAAATGAATATAATAATTGGGGACTAAATTAGTAATATTTGATATGTAAGGACTAAATATGTAAAACGATCTATAACTGCGGACCTTTTATGGAATTACTCTTTTATTTTCAAACAAGTTTTTTGAACTTTGTTAAAATAAAATTTGAAAAAACATTGTATATGGTATAAAATAGTGAAACCAAGACTTGTTTGATAAAACCAAGTCTTCGAGGTCGTTTTTCACGTGTACGGTTTTGACCGTTTTTCAAGTGTTAGACCGATTGACCAAGATACAAATGTGGTTTTTATAAATTAATTATTTGGGAACCTTTTAAATATGCCCAGAGGTAAAAACGAGGTTAAAAATATTGAAAACCACCGAGTTGGTTCGGACACCGAAAACCGAATGCTGAATGCCTGATGCTGATGCCGAATGCCGAACGCCGACCGAGGTGGTTTTTGGTTTGGGAAAGGACCAGGGATTTTAATAAATTAAAACTTTATTAAAAACGTTTATTTTGATGCACAAAAACGTTTTATGATTTTGTAAAATTTTTTTGACTCTTTGAGAACCGAGACTTGAATTGATTGTCGGTTTTGATCATAATAAGACCGACTCGACTAAGTCTTCAATTCTTGATCTTTGACCTTGAGTCTTTTGGTCTTGTTCCATGCCTTTCTTCACGCCTTGAGTTGTTCAACAAAACTCTTCATATCCACGGCAGTTTGGCAATTATCATAACCTGTCAGAAATGAACACGACTTTAGTTTAACGTAATAAAAAGTGTGTTCCAACAGGGTTGTTTCCATCGAAGGATTATTGAGGTTCGTGTAACTCGAACTCTCAAGTTATAGGGGTTTGTAAAGCGTTGTTAAGATTAACATTGATAGTGTAGCTCGAGAGAGTCTCTCGGGAGGCTGGACTATGCAAACGTTGTGGTGAACCAGGGTAAAAACGGTGTGCCTTCTCCTTACTCTTTTACTTTACGCTTTTAAATTTTTATTCCTGCATTATTTTTGTTTCAAACATTATTCACCCCCCTCTAGCGTTTGGACGTTATTCTAACAATTGGTATCAGAGCCTAACTCTCTTCTAGACTTAACCGTTTGAGAGGAATAAGATCATGGGCTCTTCTTCTAGAAATTTGTACTCAGGTATTGGCGAAGGACAATCCACCTCAAGGCCAACATTTTTTTATGGTACCATGTACACGTATTAGAAGGAACAAATGAGAATTTACATTCGTTCCACCAACTTCTAATTGTGGTTGGTTATCAAAAATGGCGTGGAAATCCCAATGAAGAAAGTGGGAGAAACCACGGTCCCAAAGACCAAAGATGAGTTTGATGCCGAAGACATCAAGAAGGTGGAAAACTACGCAACGGCCACCAACATGCTCTACTGTGCCGTTAATCTCGACGATTACCGGAAGATCTCTTGCTGCTCAACTGCCAAGGAGATGGGGGACAAACTTGAAGTGACGTACGAAGGTACGGATCAAGTTCGTGAGGCCAAAATCGATTTTCTAACCCAAGAGTACAAAATGTTCTGAATGAAGGAAGGTGAGAAAATCGATGACATGTTTGATTGCTTTTCAAAAAGCATCAATGATCTTCATGCCTTGAAGAAAAGCTACTCCAGCAAGGACCTAGTGAGGAAGGGCCTTCGCAGCTTGACTCCCGAATGGAGCTCTAAGGCTGATGTCATCTATGATTCAATCGGCGTCTCCATCGTCACAATCAATGGGTTAAGAGGTAATCTCAAGACTTACGAATCTACCATTTTTAATCCATCGTTGGATGAACAAAGAAAGAAGAGAATAGCTCTCAAAGCCACCAAGGAACCGGTGGAAGAGGTTTCAAGCGTCGATGACAACAAGTTTGGACTCGTCATCAAGAAGTTCCACAAATTCATGAATAAGGAGTTTGAACGGAAAGGAAGGAAGCATGACGGTCTCCCGAAGTGCTATGGCTGTGGCGAGATTGGCCACATAAAGCCGAGGTGTCCAAAAGCCAAGAACGTCAAGGACAAGCTCGGTTTCAAGAAGCAAAGGGCATACATCTCTTGAGGTGGCGACTCCGTCGATGAGTCAACTAACCAAGAGGAGGACGAAGCTGCCAATCTTTGCCTCATGGCACCCGAAGACCAAAACGCCGACGTGCACGAGGTATGTACCACTTCTTCCAACTCTTATACTTTTAAAGAAATGCGAGAAGCACTTCACAAACTTTACGATGAATTTGTTAGCGGTTCCAAAACCAACAAATCTTTAAGAAAACATCTTTCTGTACTTGAAAATGATTTTGAAAAATTGGAAAAAGAAAATGAAAAACTAAGGCAAGAAAACAAATTTTTTGGAAAAAGAAGCGCTGAAAAACTGGAATGTTCTTCAAACGGATTTGAATCTAGTAAAGCTTTAAAAAACAAGTCAGAAAACTTGAGAGTATGGTTAAGAAATTTAATACTCCACACAAAGATCTTAATTTACTCCTTGACACTATGTATTTTTCTAAGGAAAGAATAGGTTTTAATAAAAATGAAGCTAAGGATAAAGAAAACGTTCAGCAAACACCTAGGCAACCACCTAAAGCTCAACCTAAGAAAACTAAAAATCAGGATAATAGAAAATCTAGTCAACCTAAGGACACTAGACAACCTAGACAAAAATCTAGGAATGAAAATGTACATGTTAGACAACCTAGAAAAAACTATCAAAATGATTTTGGGCATAAAAATACTTTTTCTCAAAATAAAAGAAATAATGTTAGAGTACCTAGGAAAGATCAATTTCAAAATATTCAAAGACCATCTTTTTCACAAAGTAAGAACAATATGGTTAGACCTCCTAGCAACTACTACGAACCTAGGCACATGTACAATCCCAATGTAGTTTGCCATTATTGTAATAGGATAGGTCATATTGCCCCTGTTTGTTTCACTAGGCATAGGCACCTATCACAAAATCAAGCACACTACCATCACACACCTAACACACGAGGACCGAACATAAATTGGGTACCTAAATCTCATTGATGTGTTTCGTAGGTGTGCTTGAAGGCATCAAGTGTACTTTGGTACCTTGATAGCGGATGCTCCAAGCACATGACCACAGATGCATCCAAGTTTCTTCAATTCAAACCCGCTAAATGAGGAAACGTAGTCTTTGGAGACAATAGCAAAGGAAAAATTATCGGCATTGGTTCGGTAGGTAAATCCAAAGACTCCTCTATATATAATGTCTTGCTAGTTAAAGGTCTTAAACACAATCTCTTGTTGGAACACAGGTTTATGCCTACGTCGTACTAAACCGTGTTCGTTTTATGACAGGTTTTGATAATGCCAAACCACCGTGATAAGAACATTAAACTGGGCAAATCAAAGGCGAAGGAACATGGCATGATGAATTGAGAACCAAAAACCAAGAACCAAGAACGAAGACTTAGAAATAAATTGAGTTGGTCTTAATGTGATCTAGACCGGCACAAACCTCTAAACTCAGCTCTCTAGGCTCACTTCATTAAAATATTCTTTTGCATATTCAAAAATGTTTTTCATGAGTTTAAACAAGCATAAAACACTTGGTGTTCGCCCAAACCAAAAACCAAGCCATCCGGCATTCGTTTTTCAGAAACCGGCATTCGGCATTCGGTTATCGTCATTGGCTTTTGGCGTCCGAACAAACCAAGTGGTTTTCAGCATTTTATGATTGGTTTTTACTTCTGGGCATATTTAAATACTTCTCCAACAAAAACACTACAAAACCACCTCTCGTTTTTAGTCGTTTAGTAAAAACCATGCGAAACGGCACAAACTTGACTAGCCGTGGTTTTTATCTAAATGACGTGGTTTTCAAGATGTTTACTTGATTTATTAGCAAAATGCATTAAAAAAATGTTTTCAATACTTGGTTTTTATTTTGGAGAACTTAGATTTTTTGACATCGGCTAACGGCATGACTAAACCAACCATGGGTCAGGCTAAACCAGCCCAACAGCGATGTTGGAAGGACCAACAACGCTGTCTAGCATTGGTAGCTGGAAAACCATGGTTTGGTGCTAAGTCTTCCAACAGCGATGTTGGTATATGGACATCGCTATTGCGCCAAGGTTGGGTTTCTAGAAACATCTGGAACAGCGATGTAGACTTCCCTACATCGATGTCCAACCTAAGCCAAAAGAAATGCCCTTTGGCAGAAAGTTTTTGGACAGCGCTGTTGACCCAGCAACAGCGATGTTAGGCCATTTCTTCAACCTTCAAAGTCAGGCCTGAACAGCGATGTTCAAGTAATGAACATCGATGTAGGCACCTGACCGTTGGAAGAAATTTATGGCTAAAACTTTCCATGTTTGGAAGTCAACAGCCAAAACAGCGATGTAGGTGTTTTGGACATGGCTATTGGCTTGACCGTTGCTTCCCAATTTTCAAAAACTAAGCCTAGAACAGCAATGTCCAAGCCATGGACAACGCTGTCTAGCTGGTTTTCAGCAGATCCATTTTTAATCAAATCCCACAAATTATGCCAATCACCTCCATTCAACTCCTACCCTTTGGAGCCTATTTTTCTACTATAAAATGGGGTGTTTGGGTCTGCTTTACACATCACATTACTTCATAACTCTTATTCTTTCATTGCATAACATTCATACATTATTCATAGCTTTTCGAGAGCTATTTTTGTGAAGTTCGTGTTGTGTTCTTGAGCGTCCTTAGTTACTCATTATCCACTCTAAAAGAGAATATTGTTCTTGAGTGATTTAGTGTTCTTAGACACTTGATAAGAGAAAGTTTTTCTCTTGAGTAGTTCGAAGGAAGGATTGTTTCCTTCAAAGGTTCGTTGAGGTTCGTGTGACTCGAACTCTCAAGTTGTACGGGTTTGTTAAGCACCGTTAAGCTTAACGTTGATAGTGTAGCTCGAGAGAGTCTCTCGAGAGGCTAGACTAGCCACACGTTGTGGTAAACCAGGGTAAAAATGGTGTGCCTCTTCCTTGCTCTTTACTTTACGCTTTTAATTTTTTATTCCTGCGTCATTTTTGTTTCAAACGCTATTTACCCCCCCTCTAGCATTGGGACGTTTTTCTAACATTTGGTATCAAAGCCTAACTCTCTTCCAGACTTAACCGTTTGAGAGGAATAAGATCATGGGCTCTTCTTCTAGAAATTTGTACGCAGGTATTGGCGAAGGGAAATCCACCTCTAGGCCACCGCTCTTTGATGGCACCAACTACTCCTATTGGAAGGAACGGATGAGAATCTATATCCGTTCCACCAACTTTCAATTGTGGTTGGTCATCAAAAATGGCGAGCAAATCCCAATGAAGAAAGTGGGAGAAACCACGGTCCCAAAGACCGAGGACGAGTTTGATGCCGAAGACATCAAGAAGGTGGAAAATTATGCAAAGGCCATCAATATGCTATATTGTGCGGTTAACCCCAACGAATACCAAAAGATCTCATGTTGCACAACCGCCAAGGAGATGTGGGACAAGCTTGAATGACGTACGAAGGTACCGATCATGTTCGTGAAGCCAAGATCTATTTTCTCACCCAAGAGTACGAAATGTTCCGAATGGAGGAAGGTGAGAAAATCGATGACATGTTTGACCGTTTTTCAAAAATCATCAATGATCTTCACGCCTTGAAGAAAAGCTACTATAACAAGGATCTAGTGAGGAAGATCCTTCGTAGCTTGACTCTCGAATGGCGCTCCAAGGTCGATGCCATTTGCGAGTCAATTGGCGTCTCCAACGTCACAATTGATGGGTTAAGAGGTAATCTAAAAACTTACGAATCTACCATTCTTAATCCATCATTGGACGAGCAAAAGAAAAAGGGAATAGATCTCAAAGCCACCAAGGAACCAGTGGAAGAGGTTTCAAGCGACGATGACAACGAGTTTGGACTCGTCATTAAAAAGTTTCACAAATTCATGAAGAAGGAATTTGAGCGGAAGGTAAGGAAGCACGATGGTCCTCCTAAATGCTACGGCTGTGGCGAGATTGGCCACATCAAGCCGAGGTGTCCAAAAGCCAAGCACGGCAAGGACAAGCCCGGCTTCAAGAAGCAAAGAGCTTACATCTCTTGGGGTGGCGATTCGATGACGAATCAACCGACCATGAGGAGGACGAAGCTGCAAACCTTTGCCTCATGGCACACGAAGATCAAAGCGACGACGTCCAAGAGGTATGTATCACTTCTTCCGACTCTTATACCTTTGAAGAAATGCAAGAAGCAGTTTATGAACTTTATGAAGAATTTGTTAGAGCTTCCAAAACTAACAAATCCTTAAAGAAACGTCTTTCCATACTTGAAAACGATTTTGAAAAATTGGAAAAAGAGAATGAAAAATTAAAACAAGAAAACAAATTTTTTGGAAAAAGAAGCACTAACAAACCTGAAAGTTCCTGTAGTGAATGTGAATCTTGTAGAGCTTTAAAAGAACAAGTCACTAAACTTGAGAGCACGGTCAAGAAGTTTAATACTCCGCACAAAGATTTAAATTTACTCCTTGACACTATGCATTTTTCTAAGGAAGGAATACGTTTTAATAAAAACGAAGCTAAGGTTAAAGAAAACGTTGAGCAAACACCTAGACAACCACCTAAGGCACAACGTAAGAAACTTAAAAATTAGGAAAATAGAAAACCTAGTCAACCTAAGGACACTAGACAACCTAGACTAAAACCTAGGAATGAAAATGTTCATGGTAGACAACCTAAGAAAAATGATTTTGTGCATAAAACCGATTTTTCTCAAAATAGAAGAAATAATGTTAGAGCACCTAGAAAAGGTCAATTTCAAAACTTTCAAATACCATTTTTTTCACAAAATAAAAACAATATGGTTAGACCCTCTAACTATTATGAACCTAGGCACATGTACAACCCCAACATAGTTTGCCATTATTGCAATAGGATAGGCCATATCGCCCCCATTTCTTACACTAGGCATATGCACCTATCACAAAATCAAGCACACTACCATCACACACCTAACACACGAGGACCCAACGTAAATTGGGTACCTAAAACTCATTGATGTGTTTCATAGGTGTGCTTGAAGGCATCAAGTGTACTTTGGTACCTTGCTAGCGGATGCTCCAAGCACATGACCGGGGATGCATCCAAGTTCCTTCAAATAAAACCCGCTAAAGGAGGGAACGTAATATTTGGAGACAATAGCAAAGGAAAAATCATGGGCATTGGTTCGGTAGGTAAATCCAAT